TTGAAGGCAGAGACGGGCTACAACTTCTGGATCCATTTTATATAAATTGTTTTATTGATTATCGTCTAATGAAAGATAATTAAGACGTACATGAGCGATCAGGCGCGTTGCAAGCTTTTCAAAAGTGTGGGGGATGTTGTCTGTGCCTAAAATAATTTCATGTTATTCATCTTGTTAGTTTAATTTCCGTAATAGCGGAGCAGGTGCGAATTTTAGACGCGTCACGCACGTCTCCGTTTCAAACATGTTTAAACTGTTCAGAATACAAATCTAGGCTCTGTCTCGTTAGATTGGTGTAACTAAAGTTTGTACTGAATGAAACTTTACATTAAACCATGTTGAAAAGTAAAGGATCCGATTAAATAGTTTCCCCCTCATTTACAGTCAGTACAGTGCAGTGCGCATGGCTCTGGGGTTAATCAAGTTTAATTGTAACATTAATGTGTTACTGGACACGCTGGTCTGGTTGGTTAGACCAGTGTTTGAAGTGGAAAACACACACACACACACACACACACACACACACACACACACACACACACACACACACACACACACACACACACACACACACACCAATTAAAATAATGCTGATAGCGTGGATAGAAGACAGGTGATGGTTTACGTATTTAAATGATGATCAGGCTGATGTAAAATGTAATCTCCATCCACATCCAGACACAATTATCCTCTATTCTTTCTCTATTTGCTCTGCTTTTGTCTGGGCTGATCAGCTGATGGTGCGCGTGGCGCGCCTAACTAGCGGCTGATGCACATTTTACGCATTTGGAGAGGTGGACTGGATGCTTTGCGTTTACTGGAAGTTGGTCCACTTAACGCACGGTTGTAGACTAAATATTAATGACAAATGAATGAAAATTAAATTGTGAGTTTTTACTTCATATTTTAGAAATAAAAATGACGGGGGAAAACATTTATGACGTCTTTTTAAACTAAATTTTCTAGCGCGACCTGCCTGCTTCACTTAAGTCACTGCTTATTAAGGTCCGTCCAAAATTACCGTGGCCCACCCAAAAATGAAAACCTGGCGCCGCGCCTGTTATAAAACTCTGCAAATTGTTGTTCTTCACTTTATCAAACTCAGACTTTGTAGAGCTAATGTCAAGATGTAAAATTATGAATTCAGTCGAGCTCTTCCGTCCCTCCCTCTCCTGCTCTCCTGGAAACCCGACATCGGCTGGGAGGTGAAGAAGGAGATGAGGCAAACAGAGTGAGTGCGACGTAAAGAAACCAGACTGGTGTGGAGGTGAGCAAAACAGCTGGAAAAGTGTGGGTGTTGAATCCCCCACGGGTGCGATGCCCCCGGCTGCTGTCACCTGTTGTGAGCAGCGCTCTGCTGTCTGAGGGTAGGCCCCGCCCGCAACGCTGCGGCTGCTGCGGTGTTTTCTTTACCGTGGGAAATGGGTAATAATGGCTCTTTGATGGGAACAGGTTACCAACCCCTGGTATAAGATCTGAGCAGGTAAAACAAAAATCCTCATCAGCAGGCTTTTTTGAAAGTGGGGTGGACACAGCTGCCGATCACGAATTTTGCCGGGGACATGTCCCCGGCGTCCCCGGTTAAAATGACGCCTATGCCACTGTCCCTCGACTTCAGGGCTCTCAGCTGTCTGTCCCTGCTCTGAACATCCTAAAAAGGAAAACAGTAACAATGTCACACAAGGCTAAGAGACTGCAGATGCTACAAGCAAGAACCCCTATTTTTCCTTTTTTTTTTTTTTGTTAAATATGAGTATTTGTCTACTCTCTGTGATCTAACACAGTGCAGGAGTTATCATGAATCTATCCGCAGTAACTGTATGGTGAGCATTACTGTATGTTCACATTTACTCGGTTATATTAATTCCAATTGACTTTCAAAAACAAAATCTACCAAGTGGTGAAAAGGCAGCTTTTAAAAACATTTAGCATACTATTTTCTCAGCTATCTAAAATCACCTTGCTTCATTGAAGTACCTACCTGTAACTCAGCAGGTCTGGCTCTCCCTGTCTCACTGTCAGCTGTTTCCTGCTTAACTTCATCTGCTCTTGCTTTCTAATATGAAAACAGTGAACATGAATAAGAAGTTTAAAAAATACTGATTTAATAATTAATTTTTACAAGCTAATAAATCTCATATTATGTGACAGACAGTTGAAAGACACATAAGTATCATTTAAATTGAAGTACAACATATGTGTGACTCAGGGCGTAAGGCAAAGCCAGAAAGACAAGTAAATAACTTTCATAGCCCTGTTCACTAACATTCTTTTTTTTTTTTGATCAGTGAAAAAACAGTGGCCAAAGTTACAGTCTAAAAGCACCAGAATGCAGAGTGTAACACTTACTTATTCAAATATTTCTAAGGAAGCGTGTACACAATTTATTTTATTCTTAAACCGTACTGCCCAGCCCTGCTTGTTATAGGATTAAATAAATTTAACTGTGTTCACTTATTATCACATTCAAATCTCTCATCAACCACCTAAAATCATCTCACACTTGACTGTAGCACCTACCTGCACCTCAGCAGGTCTGGCTCTCACTGTCTCACCCTCAGCAGGTCTGGCTCTCCCTGTCTCACCCTCAGCAGGTTCCTGCTGAACTTGATCTGATCTCTAATATAAAAACAGTGGACATGAATAAGATGTAGAAATACTGTTGGGGGACCGGCGCAATATTAAAATCATGCTTGTTATAGTATTATTTAGCCGTGTTCAATTGTTATGCTTGAATCTTCCTCTCATCATGACATCAACCATCTAAAATTATCTCACTCTTCACTGTAGCACCTACCTGCACCTCAACAGGTCTGGTGCTCTCTGTCTCACCTTCTTCAGCTTCCTCTGATCTCTTACATGAAGTGACATGAATAAAGTTTAAAAATAAAATTTAGTTTACAATCACACTTACAAACTCCATTTTTATGTGGAGATTCTTCTTTTTTTATGTATTTCGTGTCAAATGGTTTTTGTCTATTACTGTCAAATTCGCCATTTTTGTTGACTGGTGAATGACGTTTAATGTTTAATGCTACCTAGCAAGATGTTTACGTTAGTCAGCCAGTCTAACGTTTGACCAAAAATACAATTATTCTCTTGGTCAAAATTATTACCAACTCACATTTCCTTCCTTTCTTGTGTTGCCCGTGAGAAAGAACCTATCGGATTAGATTTGTGCCAATAGGATCAAGAAAAACACTTTGAAGATCAAACAAATATTAAGACATTGAGAGAAAAAAACTGTTTCAAAAGAAAAACTTACAATCTGAATCAACTTCTTAAAATGAGTAACAAAGTATGTTTCCTTTTTCTGTTTGCCTCTATGTGTTTTTGTTATCAGTTTCCTGTTTCGTTCTCGCTGCTCACAGCTTTGCTCTCACTACCAGATTTGCACTTACACTTTCTGGCTTTCTCCTTTGCAATCCCTGAGTTTTTGGTTGCAATTCTGACACAACCCTTTCGGGTGGGTGGGACTTCTGAGAAATCCTCTCCCATAGGACAGTGGTTTCTCTTGAGTGACAGTTCAGTGACCCGGAAGTGATGAAGCCTCCAAGACTTTTTTTCCCCACCTGGTCAACAACATGAATTTTGAGCCCCAAACAGGTTATTTCTGTTGTCTGTGGTGTCTACTGAGGATCTAAAGTGAGTATTGATAATATATTTTATCTTTTCTTAGTTAATCTGTAAGTTAAGCCACTTTTTAAGTTGGTTTTAACCAGACGTTAGCTCACTAGCTAGCTGCTAAGCAAGCTATTGTGCTAGCCTCAGGACAATGGTCTATTGTTCCAGAGAGACGTATTAAAAACACATCTTAACATATTCATTACTGGTTTCATGGAATTAATTATTGCAGTTTATGTTAATAAATTTGCTATTTTTTCAGGAACCTGTGGAACATCAGAGACTTTGCAGCTACTGGAGCCAACCTGTGTACTGCTAACGTGCTTCAGAGGAAGCAGCAGAAAGCTGAGCTAACAGGCTGTTTTGCAGGTAAATACTCTTTTAGTGGAACAGCAGGATTTTTATGGTATAACTCAGACAGAATCTACATGAGCTATTGTGGGAAGACATTTAAACTACATTTACATACAGATACATGTATTTTTTATTCCATGTTACTTGGACGGGCTAAACAAGTTCATAGTTCTGCTCCTTTTTCAGTGAAACGAATGGATTATATGATGTAACTCTGACTGAATAATTATCTGAGTATGTTTGATAGTAAATTTCTTACCATGCGCTGCAGTGATTTCACCTCACTGACGCAGCATTGAAACGCGCTCTCCGCTTTGCGTTCAGGAGGGTTAGGGTTAGGGTCATTAATTCTGCAACACCTACATTTTCTCCGGCATGATCTCCTCTCACCCTGAAAAAAAAAAACAAAAAAACCATTAGAATCTTGCTTCAAACATTTTAATGCACAGCTATAACAATCTACATCAACTTCAGTATCAGAAATTTCCTTATGTACCTTGCTACTAAGTGAGTAAACAATGTGACATTATTAACCCTCTGCTGGGGAAACTTTTTTTGAAAGAGGGAAATGTTCACACCCACATGTTACTCCCACATTCTCCCATGACACTCAGAACTATTACCCACAATATAATTAAGATGCACTGGTTTTGTGTATTCACTCATCGTACAGGAGAAAACATGGCATGACAGACTATTATTGGAGATTCATGGGATTGTGTATCATATTCTTCCATTTAAAAATCAATATGGAGGAGTAAAGGCTAATGATTATTACAAGCCCTTACATTAACTGACTTTACAAATATGCCAAAAAAAATAATGTGTATATTTTGGGATTTCTGAAAATCCCTTTGGTTTTTAGCCAATTGTTCAAACTGCCCGCTCCTGCTGGGACCCAATCCTATGCAGCCCTCTACTTCAAAATGTAAGTTGTTAAAGGTATAAAACATATCTATAAAACAGAAGGTAGCCAGAAAACACATTTGCAGCAGTTTGGTCCTTGACAATGAAAACACCTACCTTCCTTGAATAGCCGTCTATTCCTTCAAAGATAATAAAATTGTACCTGTTAAAACACAGCCAATTAAAAATGTAACTCCCAAAACAAAAAAAAAAACATCTCCAATTACACACAGACATTACCTGATGAGCGTGTGATTGGTGTCAATGTGCACCATATACTTTGGGCAAGGAACTGTGTGTCCTTCTCACTACACATCCCAGATGTGTCATTCGAGCAAGTACACCCGCACTGTCCACACGATGCATGGATGCAGACAGTCGGTCCCACTGTACTCTATGTCCCTGGGCAAGTAGAGCACCTCGGACTACCCTGTACCCAGCATCTGGCATGTTGCTCTTAATTACTGTGATAAATGAATCTAGTTCCTCATCACTGCATTTACTGTATGTGGCAGATACAGATATATTGTTTTCAGACATCTGTCTAAATAGAGTTACTCTGGATACACCAAGGAGTTTGGTAATGACACTTGTTGGCAGACCCATTTCCACAAGGTGTTCGAGAGCCTCTCGCGACATCGCCAATCGTGGGTGGCCACGAGAACCTCTTTCAACGTGTACCGTTATTAATGTCTTTTGATTATCCCTTTCCTGCTGGATAATAGTATTCAGATCTGAAAGAGCAGAAAGTATATCCTCTCCCACATCAACAATGTCACCTAGAGCACCTAATAAAACTAAATAATGGTGACAAGCAAACTATAGCCCTTCCCCATCAACAGGTTGCCTCTCCAAGATGCTTGACAGTCGATCGTAAAACCTCTGAAGGATGTCACGCCTCAATGATTCCTAGAGGAAAAAAACAAAACAAAAACAGAACAAACATGAATTGGATAACTGTTGGGTAATAGAAATAAAATAACAACTTCCAAATATCTTACGGCACTTTTATTTTTTCAACACTCCAGCTGTGATAGTTTTAATTAAAAAAAAAACATTTTTAAATAAGACCAACTGTAGATTCAAAGGTACATGAAATGATGAAGCAGTATTTCTGTTTATTATGTGCCAGAGCTCATTGGCCAAAATTTAAAGTTGCATTTTTTTTTAAATAATATTTCTTTAACTATTGCCCACCGCCAGAAAATCAAACATGTATGCACTGGCTCAGCCAGTGTCTGTCTCCTTATTACTGCACGCACAGCCTAAAGCAGGGGTGTCAAACTCAAATTCACAATGGGACAAAATTAAAAACTGGGACAAAATTGCAGGCCAAATTCAATATTTGTTTAAAAGTTTATTTACAGATGTCTTGTTATTCAATTGGAAAGAAACTTATTTTTGCATCTGAACACAGAATCTGATATGACCAAATTACACACAAGCAAGTGCATTTTAAATAAAACACATCACGCGTTACTTATGTCTCAATTTTTATTTACTCTTTTTACTCCTTACAATGTGTATATATTCAGTATTTAGATTGTTTTACCTTTTGGATATTTTAAGTTAGTCTGTTTTATGTTTTCTTTTAGTTTACTCTTTATTATTATGTTTTACTCTCCTGTTAGGCTTCTATAATGAATGTTATTGCTGCTGTGACACACAGTTTCCCCACTGAGGGACAATAAAGGGATTTTCTATTCTATTTCTTCAATCTGTAGTCTGTCCAGTTCCCATTTTAGAGTAAGTTTAATCTTTTTTTACAGGCCAACAACAAAAACCAAAAATGGTAATTATCTTCTATGAAAATATCTCAGTTATTAACTTTCATGCTTTGGAGCAGAAAAAGTGCATGGCAGTTAAATGTTTCAAGCTCAGTTCGCTCCACTCTGATGGTCACCTGTTCCAGCCAGATACCTTCTTTCTAGGTGTTCAAAGTCGGAAACTCGCTGAGTAAACTGGACGCTTAGAGGAGTATCTTCAGTTGTTTAAGACTGAGGGTAACGCTGCACACACTGATTCTACTAGCATGGATGCTAACGATCGTAAACATAAAAGGGGGCTTGCGTCGTCTCGCGCGCTAACGCCACAAAGCACTATGGGATTAGTAGTCTTATCAGCAAAATCGCCCGGCGGGCCAGTTTTAATATTATATATTTGATATTTGATTTCGCGGGACAAATAAAAATAGACCAAGGGCTTGAGTTTGACAACCGTGGCCTAAAAAAATGGTATCTAGACACGCTAACTAAACAAATGTTCGCTTGAGTTTAGCTTGATGTTAAACTAGATGAAGAATGGACCAGACTTCACGTAACGTCTGGACTGAATTTAACATAAAACATTTTACTTGACCATGAAGAACACTTCTACTCATAATTCTATAACATTGCATAAATTACAACGAGGGAATAAAATAAAACTGTTACTCACAGATTGTGACCGGTCCATCCCGCTCTGCCGTGTGAACTGCAATGCGCATGCGCTCAGCAGATCTGTTCTGTAACATAAGGAGCCATATGATTGGCTGAAAGCGAACAGCCCTGGCGAATCATATATGATTGACAGATTCATTAGCCAATGGTGACGTTTGTTGATCTGCGACGTTAGGAGAGTCTCAAAATTCAGCACACCGATTTCTCTCACGAATGCAGGAAGGTTCACAAATGAGAAGCTGTTCGTGAATGCACCTCACAGATTTCACTCACAAACGCAGAAAGGTTCACAAATGAGAAGCTGTTCGTAAATGCACGTTCAGCAATTCGTATGATCTGTGAGTTTATATTACAAGTGTTCTTACAAATTATATTTGTGAACCACAGAGTGTGAACTTCAGAATTAGCGTGTGCATTTGTGGAAAATGTTGCGTGACTTATTTTTTCACATTATATTTATGAGTCAAAGAGTGTGAATTTCCGAATGAGCGTGTGCATTTGTGTTCGTCCAAATTATATTTGTGAAACACAGAGTGTGGATTTCCAAATGAACGTGTGCATTTGTGGAAAAGGTTGTGTGACTTAATTCTTATTGAGACTGTTCTGGCCTCATAAGGAGATCCCTTTGATCTGCTCAGAAGTAACTGGTGAGGTGAAAAATTAAGAATCCAGGCAGCAGTTTTTCTGGATAGTTTAGAGGAGATGCAGGAAGATGAGAGACAGACAGGACAGGAAAATAGTTAAATAAAAACAAGAAAACAAAACAAAGTGTTGAAAAGTAAAATGTAGGTAGATTTATCTCCACTATGCGTTTTTACCTGTATAAAACAATAAGTTATACACATGTAATAATTATACATCTGATACAATTCAGATCACCTTCAAAAACCAGTCACACACCCAGGGCCGTTTCAAGACATTTTGGGGGCCAAGGCTAAATGACACCCCCACCCCCCCACCCCCACCCCCCCACCCCCATAACTGGGCTCCCCAGAAGCCTCTGTGTAATTCATACCCTCTCCAGGAGTGTTAGTTATACAGTGTTTGTTAAAAGCCCCTCAGACATTACTGACATGTTCTAATATTATCAGATGAAAAACTAAATTATCAGACAAGCTGTCTCATCTGCTTCTTTTCTAAACTTGCAAAAAGTAACACAACCATTTGAAAGCCACTATTTGTGGATTCTCTGAAAGTTTCCATGGAGTGTGTGACAACTTTTTTTCTCATTGATCCTATCGTCTAATCTCACAGCTGAAACAAGCATCCTTAATAATCTGTGCACAGGAAGCTTACCGATGCTGTAGTAAAACTAAAGGTATAATAATTTATTATTAATAAAATCTTGTTGCAGCACTAAAGCAGAAAAATGAGATTTTGCAATAAATATGCAAAATATTTACCTATGAATTGTTTTAGAGCCCTTTTATTGGCAGAATCTGATATTAATTTAGTTCTTACAAAGAAATGGGTCCCATATGGGCCATAGTGTGACGTCATAGGCACAGATCCTCTGTCCTCTTGTTTGGAAATGGAAATATGGTCACCCTATATTCAATAAACTGTCCACCCGGGCTTTTGCACTGCACAGAGACGCTTCGCTGCCTATGACTGAACATCAGTTGAGAGTCAGTCTCATGCAGACTGACCAATGAAGAGAGGGCCTCAAGTGAAGACCCTCTCCTCATTGGCCAGTCCACACGAGGTGGGTCAAAGGTTACCCTGAGCGGGTTACGTGATGTCAGGCATTCAAGTATTGAGTATATTTACTGCATATTACAGTAAACTATTCTGTATGTGACCATATTATGGTGATCCTTGGGTCATGATGATGGGGCCCTTTAATATTGTTGCCCAGGGTACAACAAAGTGTTAATCTGGCCCTGCCTGCAGCTGTCGTCTCATCTCTGACACCTGTGCTGTGTGTCCATGCCCCGGCTCCGACTCCCTGTCTGACTCCCTGAGGGGAGGGGCTGTGTCGGCGAGAAGTCCGTGGTGTCTTTCAAACTAAAAGCTTGCGAGTCAAATATTTCAAAATCAAATTTTTTTCATCTCCACATTATTGGGGGAGACAAATGCGCGTTTGTCCAATATTGGAGGGGACATGTCCCACCCGTCCCGCCCGGTTCCTACGCCCTTGACAGCAGGTCATCTTGGATCAAAAAGCAGAGTGGATTATTCCATATCAAATATAAATAACCTCACAAATACCATACATTTACATGTGATCTTTTACATTTTACACTGCTTCAAATTTCATTTCACACAGTTATTTTATAAACTTGATTATTTACAAGCTAATATAACAAATAAATGAGCAACAACACCTTCTGTTCATGGTGAGAAAATGAGCATGTCTCTGCAAGAATGACCATTAAATGTAAAGGTTTATAAAAAAAAAAGTGGACCACTATGAATTAAAAAAATGAATGTTGTGACTAGCCTGCAGGGGCTTGAGTCACATGTAAAGTGGAATGAAGCATAATTTCTAAATGAATCAAAACTGTAATCATTTATCATGCTATCCATGTAGATAATTGGAATTTTAAAGCATGTGAAACAAAGAAAAAATACATGGGTCAGCCGGGGGTATGTAGTCAGATGAGAAATAATCATTATGTTTAAAAGCAGGTCAATCCTAATCTGGGTTGTGGCACGTATCCTCCATAAATCTATTCATTCTTTAATCCAAGAATGATTGACATTACCAGGACGACAGCGTGCCACACAACAAGCCCACACTGCATACTGCAAACACTCACTGGGATTCCACAGTACCCATATCGAGAATAAAATATGAAGTAAATGACAGTGATGTCATCCGCTCCAGATAACAAGGCACAGTAGATGAGCAACCTGGGAATCATGATGGAGAGATTTGGATTATGTTTGATTGTTTAACAGAATGGGATGGGCCAAAGTAAAAGAAGCCATTTTAATCCCTAAAATTTGTTTTATTTAACAAACCACAGGATACCACAAAGTCTGCTTGTTCATTTTTAAAAATAAATTCCTGCAGTCTCATGATGTTGCAAGTTTAAAATCTTTGTGTTTAAGGGGGAGATCACACAAAGGAGCACCTGATCAGGCTCGAGTTATTCCAAGTCTGGAACCCACTAATTATCATCTAGATGTGATGCTGTGAGTTTTATTCGGGGCAAAGCCAGTTGTGGACTTGTTATGAACTGGGACGCATCCAGCACAGGTGTTCATTAGCACAGGCGGTTAGAAACATAACCAGATGGTATCTGACTGTGTGTGTGTGTGTGTGTGTGTGTGTGTGTGTGTGTGTGTGTGTGTGTGAATTAACAATACACACCCACTCATTCCTGTTAATGTAACCCAAAGTAAAACTACCATTGTGCCACATCGACATGGTTTGCCAGATGGATTCACATTTATTATCAGCCTACAAGCTTCATCCCTGCATAAGAGGATATCTGCAGGGATGTTGTGTATTTTAAATTCAGACACAGGTAATGTTTAGAATGTTAAACTAATCTATTGTCAGCAGTGTATTGCTAATGCTTATATGTATTTTTTCAGTTAAAGTCAAGTATTTCAAGGTCAAAAAATGGGGTAACTGTAACACTAGAGACTTTAGGCTATGTAAAGACATGATTGCTGAAAATCAATTTATTCTCGTACAGGTAAATAATAATGGAAGAAAAATACATCTTCACTTCATGTATCTCTCTAAAATAAATAAATAAAAACTAGTTTTTAGTGGATTACATACCACATTAATCATTCTCTGGGTGAGCAGAAAAAACTATGATGAAGTATTGACTTTATGATTACATGACCTCCAGCCGGTCCACAAGGTGTGCTTTAAAAATTATCTTACAACATGATTACATTTTTGTAGTGTGTGTGTGTGTGTGTGTGTGTGTGTGTGTGTGTGTGTGTGTGAGAGAGAGAGAGAGAGAGAGAGAGAGTGAAAATCAGGAAATATACAATATAATCTTGATAGTGTTGCCACAAACAACACAAAATAGTTTTAAAACTTTAAAGATGCTACAGCAAATCTACAGAACAAGCCAGGTTTTAAACGCTAACACCATCACGTAACACTCATCCCTCCCCTTAGGTATCTTCACTGAGAGGCTTCTGCTGGAACTGGACACTGACATAGCCAGAGGAAATGAGATAGGGCTAATCACCAGTCGTCGATGTCTACGTCTAATGTCTTTTGTTGTCATTTACTTCTAATTGAGTTTTTCTTTTTTGGACACTGGTAGCTTGTCCTAAAGTTGAAGTGGTAGCAGTTGCCTTTTCCTTCTTGATGTTATTAAGCAGAGAACCTCTCACACCGGTGGTGTTCTGTTGCTAGATACGCAAGTGAGTAATGAATGGAGGACTCTGGGAAGAGTAGCAGTTCCGTGAGACCGACAACCAGGTGGTCCAAAAATTTGCTTTCAGTCTGAAACGTGTATTTGGCGGAGGTTTTTAAGAACAAGTTGAGATAATAATTTTTTTTAAATATGCAATATATTTATTGCTATATTATGTTTGAACATTGTTAAGAGGCATGAAAAAAATGTTTCAAACACATTTTTGGGGGATTTTTGCAATTCCAGCTTTAAGCTATCTGTCCATCCATTCATTTTCAACCACTTACCCCTGAATAGACTTTACCAGGGAGGCTCAGAAGTGTGACCCCTCTGTAGTTGGAACATATCATGTTTGCCAATTCAGGGAACTGTCCCCGATATCCACGTGATACTGCAACGCCGCGTCAACCAACACAGCCCCACAACACCCAGAGCCTTAAGGACACTCCAGGCAGATCTCATCCACCCCTGGGGCCTTGCCACTGAGGTGCCATTTGACCACCTCAGTGACCTCGGCCCCAGAGATCGGAGGGTCCAACCCAAAGTCCCCAAAATCCACTTCCTCACTGGAAGACGTGTCGATGGGATTGAGGAGGTCTTCAAAGTATTCCACCCACCGATCCACAATGTCCCGAGAAGAGGTCAGCAGCACACCATCATCACTGTAAACAGTGTTGGTAGCGCACTGCCCCCCCCCCCCCCCCCCCCCGCATCAGCTCCCTCGGCAGTCCCACAGGCCACAAAGATTTGACATGAGTCTCTCTTCAGCTTGACAGCTTCCCTAACCGCTGGTGTCCACCAGCCCACATGAGCCCACACGGGGCGGCCAGGCTCCAATGGTAAAAGCCCAGCCACCAGGCGCTCACCATCATGCCCTAACTCCAGGCCTGGCTCCAAAAGAGAGCCCTGGTGACTCACGCCCAAGTGAGGGAACACTATTTCCATTTGTCTTGTTCTTCAGAAGACGTATCTATGAGCTGCACTTTGTCTGATCCCTCACCTAGCTTTAAGCTATTGCTTTCAAAATTGTTTCAGTGGTTTTTGAGCCAGAAATTTGTGAGAAAGTTGTCAGCAACTTCACATTGGACAGCACTCTGTAGCCCTCTGCAGACCAGAGACTACACTTAACAGTTTTGAGGTTCATGCAGGAAAACTAGTGGAAGGTCTCTACCTGAAGAAGAAGACTATTTGTTTTGGTTTTTCTTTGTTGGAATCATCCTGCAAGTAAAAGTAAGAGAGTAATGCCTTTGGAGGTGAACGAGCCAAAACCAGAGTGAACATCGGCGCGTCCTGCAGTCGTTTTGAGGGAGCTGAAGGAGGCTAAGAAATCGAGGACTAATGTTGGCCTGGCTTTGCTGCTACTGGACTTGTAAGTAGAATTTTTTTTGTCCAACTCTGAGGATCTTTTTTGTCATGGCTTATTTAGTATCATTTGGCTCGTGTTAGCCCTAACTCATGTTAGCTGCAACAGGCTGCTGCATTGCTTATCAGAGCTGTAACTCCACTTTCTACCAGTAGGAGGGACGCAGTAACTTTATTAAATGTTGCTTTAAAGAGTGGTTCAAGTGTGCCTCAGAGTCCTTCTCCACCCACTTATGCAATTGCAACATTAGTAGGCGTTGCCTGGCGGACCGAGAGGGCAGAGCCGCGGCAGTGATTAGAAGTGGAGGAGGTTTCTCCCCCTCCTTACCCAGACACTCGAGAAGAAAGGAACCAAGTCTATTTGGAGGAGACAAGCGGACCTGAGCCTTATTGTTTTGAGCTTGTGAGTTGCCTGAAACTACCGGAACCGATCCAACAGAACCAGCTCTGAATGGTAAGTAGCCGCTAGCCATAGCATTAGATTAGCTTCAGGGTTTGGCTCCACGGCCCTAGAGAGCTAGTATTCAGCATGTTTTAGAGATTTATCAGTTTCACCACACCTGGTTTTAATCAGCAGCAAATAGCTGAGCTGCTTAACAGCTAATCTAACCCGTTAAAGCAGGAAAACCACTTAAACTGCTGGATTGCAGCTCTCCAGGAGCTCTGGGCTTAAGTTACAGTCTGCTGCAGAGAAAGTTATGAAAATACCCCATGAGAAAATTATTCTGTCATGTGTTCAGCCCACTAAAACTGCCCTTATTTCATTATTTATTTACTGATACCAGCTGCTTTCTTGGTTGTAGGTGATCCTCTGGCGTCTGCAGCTGGTCTCCTCTGCTGGTGTCGTCAGGGTCAGGAGCTTCCAGAAGAATGTGCCTTTCAATGACTCTTTCCCCCTTATTTGTTATATTAATTAAATAAATCTCAATTTATATATTCCCTGTTTTTGTTCATGTCCATAAATACTTAAACATGCTTGAAATTATCATCACAATAGAGCTATTTAAACATGCAAAATTGTGATAATTCAATTAATGTAATTTATAAATATCCATTAAAATATCAAAACTGGAATCAAAATGAGATATTTGGCAGCACTAAAAACTTGTCAAATATTTATTATAATAATTGTAGGCAGACAGGAGTCAGAGCTGATGGAGGATCTCAGTCATCGAAGGATGGCTGAAGGCTTTCCAGGAACAGGAGATGTGGTGTTGTCTCTTCTCTCTCTATTCTGCCAGATGAGCTGATAGGTTACAGGTGTGTGAGGACATCCTCATGCTGTCATAACCAGATGACAGGAGTTATCAGATGATCAGCCAGGCTAATGATGAGATGCAGAAAGAAAACAAATCCAGGACAGTGTACAGTAATAACAATAATAATCTGTGGTGTGACTCACCTTATGTGCTCTTATAGAGTATTAACGTGTGCCTGCCTCATGATGTAGAGTCCATATTTTGCTGAGTGTCCTGCAATAATGCAGGTTATCAGTTCATTTCATTTTGATAGCAAAACAAAATATTTAATGTAAAAGTTATTTACCAGGTGAATCAGCTCACACGTCACCACCAAGTGTCACAGGGGCAGAATCAGTAGCCTCCTTCATGATGTCATGATGTAATCACATACTTATTTCATTGTTAATATCTTAAAAATTCTGAAATGTTTTTATTTTTTTACCTTGAACAGTTCACTGAGCTTGCACTGTCACTGAGGTGGAAGCTGGAATCAACAGCAGACACCTCACATCTTGGTCTTTTCAGGGGTGTGGACGCTGCTCTGGGACCTTCTGGAAGATGAATTTCCGTCATGGTCCCTGTGTCACAAGACACACTGAGGCTGTGAGCTCTATTCTGGGTGGCTATGTAAAAACAAAGAAGTAGCACATTTATAAATGTTTAAAAGAGCATAAAATCACGTGTAACAACAATCTGTAAAACAAATTAAAACTAGAAGGTAATAATAAAATGTTTACATAGAAGATTATTAAAAATAGTTCACCTTTGCTACGGGTAAGGCTTCATGTCAGCCTGGACAAGGGCATTCTTGCAGACTACTAAATCAGTCTGACAGCCAATGTCTTGGGTAGATTTAGCCTGAAAAAAATAGAAGCACATTGTTGTTGGAGTTTATAAAGTCAGATAATATACAAAAGAAACTGTCCTATATAGGCGCTTTATAACATTCCTAGTGTGTGATCGTTGTTATAACGTAAAAGTCAGTCACATATGATGTGGAGAGCCTGAAATGCGACCTCCTGAACAGAATTCCTCACAGAACCAGGTCACGCTGTAATGCTGTCTGTCAGCTAGTGCTGCGTTAGTTAGTCACTGTTGCAGAATTACCGACTGACACAAAAACAACCCGAATTTTCTCCGAGCCTGACAGTAATAGTCATGTGGACCGTTTTGTCGGCCAGGGCTTCGAGACATGTTCCCGTTCCACATTTTGTGAACTTGACAAATCAGCCCGAAGGCAGTGCAGACTTATATTAGCTAAATTAAGTGAACCACATCTCTCAAACTTTGCATTTAGGTAGGGAATTTTCTTTAGAAGATGTTAAAACTTGTATTTAGCTTACTCACCTCAGACTGGAGCGCGCCATGGTGGGGGAGCAGAGTCGGTGGGCTGCATCTAAATCGCGGAAGAGCCACGGTGGGCACAGCCTCCCTCTTCAAACGGAGACGTGCAGAACAACCCAGTTCAAACTCCATCATGTTGGCGAAGGAATCGTGGGTAAAATGCTGATTGCAAACTACAGCACCAGGCGGGAGCTGACTGTTTTCCAGTACACCGACTGCGCAATCACTGGCGCCTAATTTCTAAGTCCAGCGGAAAGGAGTGCAACCCCACAGAGCCACCGAACCCACTACACTACACCTTCTCACCATACTAACACGATATGGAACACTAAACCCAAACTACTTTCCTAATAACACTAACAGACAAACACTAACTAAACTACAATATCCAACAGCAAAGCTAACACTAAATACGTATTTATAAAACTAAAAGCTATGCTAAAGACTTGGATATGCTAATGCTGAACTACTGCTAACCTCCTACACTCGCTTGCAAATCCAACTCCCAACTCGCCACAAGGCGTGGCCGAGACTCTCGTTGCTTTATAACTTTGACACAGAGCTGCTACGTAGTACTCTACTGGTTTACGTAGTATCTTACTCTTTAGCCATTGGCTAAAATAGATTCAAAATGACTCAAACTCTGTTTTAAGCTGAAGGTGGCGCTATACTGTGGTATTTAGGCAGAATTTTAAATTTTTAAAGAAAATGCACCAAAATGCTAAAATAATTAATACACACATTTAAAACACTATTAGACACACATTTATACAGTTCATCAGCAAAAAAAAGTTAATTTAGACGTCACTTGCTCTTTAAGGCAAAACAAGGTTTTATCAATTACCTTGATTTAAACGAACTGACTAAGCAGCTCTGAATCAACTAGACTGATTTCTGCAATGGATTAAAACTCTCTACTTCTTACAGGCTTTCAAAATGAAATAATAAAGGTCCCATTTCATATGCTGTACTTTTCACTCTCCAAAAGGATGTATTTTTCCATTAGATGTACTGTACTTGAGCAGAGTCAAGAACAGCCTGATAAGAAAGGCCATGAAAACTAGAATACTGATTACTTCTAATGGTTCAAAAAGAGCTGTCATTGTGTTAGCCAGCATCCTGCAGAGATCCAGCTCACGTGAGCAGAGTTTGAAATCACCTCTGGTTCCTATGTAACATAACAAATTGCTTTCCTGTTTGAAATGTGCAATGGAATTTCACCCTTATTATCCAAGGTGCAGGATCAGCATCTAGTACTTCATATGCCACTACTGGTTTTGAGTGCACAACGCCAAAGTACAAGTATATATCTTAGAGATGCAGGTGCACGGATAAAACAACTCTTCCACCTGGTGAGATTTAAAATGTTAGAAGGAATAAATCAAACAATTAAGTTGAATCATATTAACGTATATTCATCATTTTATGAATCATGGCATACCGTTCTCTTTGCTAATTGCTCCTATGATGTCTCAAGCACATGTTTTCACTTAGCTTTCCTCATTTCATTTGATAATCCCTCTATCTCACTTCTCTCCTGAAAGTCTTATAACATGACCCATTTGAGCATGTCTTAATCCAACTACTCCATCCTCCTTACTCAATCTTGCATTTGATCAATGCTGGAATAGTTGGAACTACAGATAACCTCTTTCTCATGAATCTAGCAGAAAGCCTGCAGCACAGAGATGTTTATACAGGCGGCAAAGTGATTTTGCTCATTGTGAAGGCAGTCAACTGAAAGGACACCATAGCTGCAGTAGATAAATACTTTAAAGTGACAATGTGTAGTTTTAACCATTAATCTCTGGAATTATCCATTTAAATGTTGTTGTAAATGAATTTAAAAAGATACCTAGTTGTTGAAAAATATTGGCAGTTTCATAACATTGCCGGGTCTGGAATGGCCCAGTCTGGTTAATTTTGGACCGGTGTGTTCCGGTATGGGTCTGGAATATTCAGACAAGCATTTCGATCGCAGTTTGGAAGTTTGGGCCATCACGTCAGCAGGCGGAGTTAAACGAACCATCAGGTGCGATTTTATAAGTTGTGCCACTGTTCAGTACTTCTGTGCTGCATTAAATGGTCTACAGAGCTAAAGACAAAAACAAAATGCTTACCACAGCCTCCACATGTGACTCCAGAGTGCAGTCGCTAAGTCCAGAAGCCTGCCTCGGCTATAAATAGCATCCAGCGTGTCGTAGCAACTCCATGTATTTCTCCCATCTCAAAATAAAAATCCGTCAGGCTGTTTCTGTCCTTAACTATTAACTATTTTGGCTCTAATTTCTTCATCTTGTCCCGACACTGAGTCGACGTCCACTTTGATTCTTCAGCTGCAATCCGCTGAGAAAAAAAAATACCGATTCGTTTAGCTCCTCTTGTGGACTCTCACGATGATGGTGAAAAATGTCTGGAACTCTGAAGATGACCATAATTTGCTGCTACTTGCTTCAATTTTTTTCACATTCATGTACAGCTAACGAAAATGCAAACAATGGAACTCTGTTTGTTTTCCTTTTTGCAAGTAGTCACATATTTCTGTCAACCAATCAGTGGACTGTGTTGTTGCTCAACCCTAATCGAACCGCTCCAGGAATTTCTGGACCTACAACAGAAGGGAGCCAAAAAAGTTCCGTGACTGGCGCGGTCCGGGTGGGTTGTCTGGACCGGTTTTACAATTGGAACAGAAAAATGAGCGACCCGATCCATTCCATTCCATGCCAGTTTGGGCAATGGAAAAGGCCTATAAAATACGCCCTACTGGATGCCATGTTTCCTTCTACGGAAGCCCGTGAGGACAGAATGCATTTATTGATTTTTAGAAAACAGTTACAACACTTTCAGCATTAATAAAGGTTCTTTTACACATTTACCTCTTCACTTGCAAGTGATGAAAGGGAATCTGTTGTTATTGTTATTTTGCTGGAGGTTGCACTCCCAAGGATTTTTGACCCTAATGGCCATCTGTTGATAAGGTCTTACTTGAACACAAAAATAATGTTTGCTTGCAATGATTTAAGTATCTACTGCCCACTATCGCCAGGGAAACTATACATTGTCACTTGAAATTCTACTGAGAGGTACTGTCAAACAATAAATTGGCTGGACAGCCTTCCAAGCAAATTTCACACATCACATATAATAAAACACTTGGTTATTACACTTCCTGATGCCAGTCAGATAATCTTTTCACAATATTGTTCACTCACACAGACATAAAAACCTTCACTGACATTTCTTCTCCAAGTTAGCGGACATTCAGGCTCTGATCGCCCTTCTTCAGTGATGTTAAACTTCTTTCCAACAATAACAAGGCAACATTGAAACCTAATTACATTTCTTATGCTTATGTTCACCATCTGCAGTAATTCCAGGTTTAGTATTTCATTTAATACCATTGACATACATATATGGACAATGGGTTTCCATAGACTCCAATAATAAGTTTTTGTACTAAAATGGGAGGTGGCCACCACCACCATTTTGACCGTGTCACAGGTTCCGTCAAGCCCTGACAATTCGATAAAAGGGAAGAGAGGTGGAGCTGAGGGTGGGGCTGTAAGGCTGGGATCAACTGACGACACTCGGTCGAACTAGCTACAAGCTAACCTGAAGCTAACCCAAAGCTAATGCGGAGGTGGGAGCTAAGCTAACGGAGGTAGCAACCTAGCTACAACCGGAGTTAACAGTGCACAACACCAGAGCTTCTGAGTCAGAGATACGCCGGGCTGACCGCTGGGTAAAACCGGATGGAACACAGAGGTCTCCGAGAGCTCCACAAGCCTGCAGCCGCACAGCAGACAAGTGCCGCTGCGGAGAACCGGGTGGAAAGATTTCCATCCCAGAGCTCCACAAGCCGGCAGCCCGCGCAGCAGAAAGAAGCCGCGATCAGACAGAAATGCGGCGAGCTGTGGGGAGGGGAGAACGAGGTCACCCAAGAGCTCCACAAGCCGATAGTCGGAACCCAGCTCCACCAACATGTTATATTTGAACCCATTTTCTAAAGAGCAGCATTATGTTAAATGCACTGGGTTTTACCCTATTACATTTAAATTTCATGGTTAAACAGTACATGTTAAGATCTAAGCTCAGCTCAGCAGTGACCTAAAATACATAAATATAATTTTACTTACCGAAAAAAATGAAGTGGAGACTCCTTGGATGCTCTATTAGTGCAATTAATGCCACAGCAAGTCATTTTGTCCAACAATTGCACCAATAATATCCAAACAAGAATACACAAACACAGACTCAAAATCCCGGAACAGTTTCCAAGCCAGACCGAGGCTCTACTGAGGCCTTTCCACGGAGCTAGCTCTGTGGTCACGTGGGTCTGATGCTCATTAATTATACAGAATTTTAGGCTTTTAATACACTTAAACAGAAGAGTGAGAAAAAAATTCACCCCCTCAGAGTTGTCATGAGTGTAAACTAGATCATTTAAACCAAAAACGTGTTGGTACCAGGCTGTAAACATGTTTATTTCTGCTGTGAAATTGGTATTTTTAACATGCGAGTCAATGAGGATTTGCTCGCTTCTGACACCAGCCCCTAGTGGATGAGGGTGGAACTGCAATTTTTGGTACTTTTGGGTTGAGACCAATTTTAGAGCCGCATTGTGGGGGCTTGGTTAATACGCTGAAAGATGGGATTCATAATGGAAAAAGCTATACAATGGGCACATCCACTTCTCATCCCGTTACTCCAGTGAAAGTCTATGAAAACAAAATCTTAAATATTTTTTTTACATCACAATAACATGACCATTCATTCTCTTGTGGGCTGTTGGATTGTGAGAAAATAGGCACATAGTCAATTGAATGAACTAGCAGTTTGTTGAGGGTCTGACCTCATGTGGAAATTACTATGCAGTGATTTTCTCCAAAATGACTGTGCTTAAATTGCTCTGAAAAGCAAATAATCACATCAGCGCCAAGAAACTTCATTTCCCATGATGCTTTGCACACGGAAGCATTGTGATGACGTCACCGCCTAATACCAGAAACACGTTCTGCGCATGTGCGGGAGGCCGTGGAGCTTTTCCCGCGAACTAAGACCATAAATCTTCAGCAGAGACAAAGAAACCTCGTTCTTTTGCCCAGGATACCTGGCGGTAAGGACACGCTTGTCGAACGCTCCGACAACTTGAGCACGCGGAAGCTCTAAGTGCCCAAGTTGAGCCACGCAACCGCTGGAAACCACTCCAACTCCCATCGGGACCTGACTGGGAACGAGCGGAGCTCCATCCAGCTCTCAGAGACGCTGTAAGTTGTCAAACTCAGCCCAAAAGAAACTTCGTTCTCTTTGTGTCCAGCCCGTGGAGAAACACTCGTGGAGCCAAACAACGGAGAAAACATCAAACCGACGGATGACGCTGAAAACTGCGGAGAAACACGGAGAACCGTCAAATCAAAACAGTGAGGGACGCCTCGCTCTTCTGGTGATCAGAAAACTCATTTTTCTCTCTCCTTTTCTCCTCCCATTTCCTCTATAGTCCAGAATAAGCAATAAAACCGCGCTATTGCTTAAAAAAAGTAGCTTCGTGTCTTCCTCTTTCGCTCCCAAAACACGTCCGCCGGGTCATTTTGAATAAATAAACTGCTTATTGATCATTGTTTGGTATCTTTAAATGTTTTCGGCCATGGCCAGGCTGATAAACTAAAAGATATTAACTTGTGATTAATCTTTTGTGTTGTTTCATGATCCTTTGAAATGTTTTGAGTGATTTAAGGTTAAGTTACTACTGATTCTAAGTGCTTTGGAAGTTAAAGTGCATGTTGCCACGCACACTTTAGCCAGACAAAGGGGTCAGCCATCTTGCATACAGACTCCATTTTAGAAACACACACACATACATACACACAAAACACCTTGAACATTATTTTGAATATACATCCTTTTATTATATCACATGGTTATTATTCATCTATGCCACTGTTTATTCATTTGACAAATTGTTAATTAAACGTTATAAAATTCAGATTTTCGTCTCCAGTAGCTTTGTTGTGTCGAAGAGAAGTCTCTGCTCCAAGGATTCTACGAACTTCAAGAAAGACTGATAAGAGTTTTGGATTCAAATTTTCCCCGGTTGAAGGGGAATGGTGCCCCGTATATCTAAGAATATCTTAATTAATTAATAAATCAGTAAATATTCCCATATTTACAGAATTTATTGAAGAATCCAAAAGTAAGTTAAAGCTTACAAATTGTTCGCTCCTAATAACCCCAACATTAATTGGTGCAGCCCGTGTGAGGCTTGGATACACAGAGATTTCTATCCGGCACAAACAAACAAATAAATCCAAAGAGCTTGAATTAAAAATAATCAGTTGTTCAGCCTTGAACCAGCAACAGAGTGGTGCTGATTTCGCTGAGCAGGAAGCTGCATCGAACTCTCACCAGTAACTCAGTGCTTCTTTAAAGGTGCAACGTGTAAATTAATTCTGGTTGACTTTTAGGTTAAAATTCAGTTTTTCCTTAAAGGTGCAACGTGTAATTAATTCTGGTTAACCTTTTAGGTTAAAATTCAGTTCTTCATTAAAGGTGCAGTGTGTAAGTAATTCTGACTAACCCT